TTGGTAGAGTTTGGAGGGCTCAGATAAAGACAGGAAGATGAGAGAAAGTTTAGAACTTCTTAGCTACTGTTTAAATAGTTGTGACCAAAATGCAGATAGAAATATGGATGGAGAAGGCCAAACTGACAAGGTCTTAGATGGAAATTAGGAACTTAGTGGGAACTGGAGCAAAGGTCATCTCTGTTACATCCCAGCAAAGAGGTTGGCTGCATTGTCTCCATGTCCTAGGGATTTGTGGAAGACTAAACTTAAAAATGATGACCTAGGGTATACCTGGCAGAAGACATTTCTAAGCAGCAAAGCATTCAAAATATGGTATGGCTGCCATAACTACCAACCTACAATCAGGGATGGAAGCAAAATAATTACTTAAAATTGGAACTTATAATTAAAAGGAAAGTAGAACATAGAAATTTGGAAAAATTTGCAGCCTGGCCATGTCTTAAAGAAGGAACAAGCATTTTCAGGAAAGGAATCCAAGCAGGCTGGGAAGCAACACTTGCTAGAGTGAATTGCATGACTAAAACGAAGTCAAATGCTAATAGTCAAGACAATGGGCAAAAAGACTTGAAGGCATTTCAGGAACCTTTGAGGCAGCCCTTCCCATCACAGTCCCAGAGGCCTAGGAGGAAAAAAGAATGGTTTCAGAGGCCAGGCCCAGGGCACTGCTGCCTTGTGCCACCTCAGGATGCTACTGCCTGCACCTTGGCAACTCCAGTTCCAGCTGCAGCTCAGAAGGCTCCAGACACAGCTTGGGCTGTTGCTCCAGAAGGCAAAAGCTGTAAGCCATGGTGGCTTCTATGTGGTGTTAAGCTTACAGGTTCACAGAGCAAAAGAGTGAAGGAAGCTTGGCAGCTTCTACCTGGATTTTAAAGGATTTACTAGAAAGCCTGGGTGGTCACGTAGAAGCCTGCTGCAGGAGTACCAGAGCCCCACAGAGAAACTCTACTAGGGCAGTGCTAATGGGAAATATGGGGTTGGAGCTCCCACACAGAGTCCTCACTGGAGCACTGCCTAGTGGAGCTGTGGGAATAAAGCCACCACCCTCCAGACCCCAGAGTGATACAGCCAACAGCAGCTTGCACCCTGAGCCTGAAAAACCACAGGCACTCAACTTCATCCATGAAAGCATCCATGGGGGCTCACCTGCAAAACCACAGGGGTGGAGCTGCCAAGGCCCTGAGAGCCCACCCCTGGCACCAGTGTGCCTTGGATACAGGACGTGGAGTCAAGGATTATTTTGGAGCTTTAAGGTTTAATGTCTGCCCTACTGAGTTTTAAAGTCATGAAAGGTCTGCTGCCCTCTTCTTTTGGCCTATTTCTCCCTCTTAGAATGGAAATTTTTACCAAATGGCTGTACCACCATTGTATCTTGGGAGTAAATAATTTGTTTTATGTTACAGGCTCATAGATGGGAGGTATGTGGCCTGAGTCTCAGACGAGAGTTTAGGCTTTGGACTTTGAGTTAATATTGGGATGAGTTAAAATTTGGGGAGACTATTGAGAAGGGATTATCATATTTTGCAATGTGAGAAGAACATGAGATTCTAGGGGCCAGTGGGTATATTAGTCAGGGTTCTCTAAAACGACAGAACTAATAGGGTATATGTGTATATGAAGGGAAGTTTACTAGGAGAATTGGCACACGTGATCACAAAGCAAAGTCCCACAATAGGCCATCTACAAGCTGAGAAGCGAGAAAGCCAGTTTGAGTCCCAAAACCTTAAAAGTAGAGAAGCCAACAGTGCAGTCTTCAGTCTGTGGCCAAAGGCCCGAGAGCCCCTGGCAAACCATTGGTGTAAGTCCAAGAGTTCAAAAGCTGAAAATCTTGGAGCCCAACATTCGAGGGCAGGAAGCATCTGGCACAGGAGAAAGCTGAAAGCCGGAAGATTCAGCCAGTCTAGTCCTTCCATGTTCCTCTGCCTGTTTTTATCCTAGCCACACTGGCAGCTGATTAGATGGTGCCCACCCCTATTGAAGGTGAGTCTGCCTCTCCCAGTCCACTGACTCAAGTGTTCATCTTCTTTGGCAACACCCTCACAGACACACCCAGAAACAATACTTTGCACTCTTCAATCCGATCGAGTTGACACTCAATATTAACCATCACCGTGGGCAAGAGAAAGGATTTGAGAATGTTGGCTTGGCAGGGTCTGATCGGAGGGCTTTAAATTTGACCATTTACAGAAAGGTATGTTAAGGAGGATTTTAGCCCCAGATCTTTAGGGCCAACAGACCCCTCACTTCCAAAAGTGTTCTCGCATTCAGGTTCCAGTCCTGTCCTGGTCTTCTCGGTTCCAAAGGGAGGATTTGTTGGTTTTGGGTATCATTAGGGGTCAAAGCTTTTTGTATTGTGCATGCCTGGGCAATAGGACTTGCAGGTTTGGGCTCTGTTATACTTAAAAGGCAACTCAACATTTTGTTATCGACAGAGTTAGGTCTGGTTTGGGCTGGTCCTGCAGTTACAGTCAGAACCTTATCTAAGTATGCACAGCTAGAAAATGGCAGCCCAGTTATTTCAAAGCTCCAAGGTGCCCTGGGATCTTTTATCATCACCTAACTTTTCGGAGCAACGAGTGCCACCCAACGCACTTCCTTTCAACATGATTTCATTTTGTTGCCAACTATCATGTGCCATGCCCTGACTCCTCTCACCTCTGATCAGTTTCTTTACTTGCCTCATCCTGCCCTGGTAATACCTTGCAAGGGCTCTGCTCTAGGCAAAGTCTACCACTTGCCCTAAGCTGACTCATGAAACCTACCTGCCTTCCCTCCCCACATCCACTGCCCTGCATTGGTTCTTTATTCTTCCGCAGGTAGGATTCTTACTTCCCGTACTCTGTGAGGTCAGAGATGGAGGATTAAACATCTTCTTTTTCTCTCACAAGGAGGCAGTACAAGCTGCATAGTAAAACTTAAAGCCCTTCCTAAACAAAATTAACTATATTCAGACTAAAAGACAAACAGTAGCAGCACCCTTGTTCTGTTTAATCTTGGCTAAAACAGAATGTGTCTGGGTAGCCGGGGACTCACCAGAATGGAGCTGGGTCACAGGTACTCAAGCAGCCAGGCCCAACTACCTGGTACATGATTAATAAACTAGAGCAAAGACTTGGGCTGCCTAAAATATATATGTATTTAATATAGATACATAGAGAGATATATAGATATACATCGTTTAGCTTGGGGTATCAAGAAGCCTACAAGTTAGGGTTCCCTCAAGGATCGTTAGACTAAAATTCTTATGTTAACAGTTGACAACCTTTTAGAGGTGCTAAGATGCCCTTTCTCTTAGTGGGAAGGGGAGAGAAACGATTCATCAACTGGAAAGGGGTCCCAAAAGGCCTCATTGCCCACAAACTCTCACCCTGGTACCACTCTGCCTCCTTTTCTCTGGGTAGACATCAGTGGAGAATCAAGACAGTGCTGTGGTAGGGTTGGGAAAGTACTGATAATAATGTTCAATCCTGTTGTTTAACTTGGAGAGAGTTGCTCTATCTCCTATGTACTCTAGCCTTTTGTTTATTTCTTTTTCTGTAAGATGAGTAGAGGGAACTAAAATCAGTGTTTCTCAATCTTTAATGTGCATAGGAATCCCCTGAGTTATTGTTAAAAATGCATATTTTGACACAGAAGGCATGCAGTGGGCAGAGACTCTGCCTCCTAACCAGCTCCCAGGTGAGACCCAGCTGCTGCTGCTGCTGCTGCTGCTGCTGGTCCACGGTTAGCCATTTGCATTTTTAGAGGACAGATGTGTGTTTAAAGTCCTGCAAGTGCTTGCTTTCATTTAATGCAGATAGGCCCCAGGAGATATAAATCAGTCAATGGCCTTCCAACTCCTGGAAGAGCTCAGTTTTCATGGGTTGGAGCTGACTGAGTTAAGCAGGGAGTTCTGCCCTGGAAGCCCCATGCATGGGGAGTGAAGCTGCGTAGCTAAGGCCCGGTGGGAGCAATGGGGGTGCTGGGCATCTCAGGGGTTCTTGGTGTTTCCGGAATGGAAAGGCCAGGAAGCGAGAGGCAAATAGAAGCAGAAATAGGATAAATACCTCTTACTCTAAAATTCTATCGAGAGCCCTAGATGCTACTTGAAACGTCTTTGGAATAAAGTAAAATAGAAACAAATAAACATTGGTATTTTGTTTTATTGTGTTTTGTATTTGGTACCACTTTATTTGACTGACCTACATAAGAATTTGGTAAAAAGATATTCACCCAAAATCACAGTTGACAGAGCTAAAAGATGACCCTGGGCCAAGTCTGTGGCTAACCCTAAACGCCCTCTTCTGCTCTCTTCTTCACGCTTAGGGGACGTCCAGATCACAGAGAACTGAAAACCAAGCTTCATTCCCAAGTCCCCCACACTTTTATTCTCTAAGGTGAAAAATGTTTAAGAAAAAACTCAGAAATTTTGACATTAAGTAGAGTACAGGCATTTTAATTATATGCAAACAAAGAAAAAAATCATGACTACATCAAAAGAATTATATTAATAACACAAAATCAAAGCATATTTCCAGTTAAATATAGAAAAACTTGTGGGCCCATCAGGACCACAAAACCTGCATCCTCCTCAGATTTCTTGATATATCACACTTGACTAGAGGAATTTGCACAGGAAGAGGAAATTCAAAGTTGGAATAGAAGTAGAGAAAATAACCTACAGACCTTTTGTGTTTGTTTGTTTTGTTGGGTCTTTTGATGACTTGAAGCTTGAATAATATCCAGCAAGGATACATATTAAGGGAAAACTATTCCATTAAAAATATTTCGATAAACTACCTTCCCCTGTTAAATATACACATACTTCTTTAAAATTGGGGGAGAAGTAAATTGATCATTTAGAAGGCAAGTTACTAAACTGAAATGACTTTTGAGATTTTTCTAAATGACAAATTAGAGACATCATCCAAACATCTATGGGTCCAAAAACTCTTCTTCCCCCCAAACAGCTTTACCTCCAAAAGGCATCAAATATTAAAGGTAACAAAAATACTAGAATACTCCTTGATAAAACAGCCCCTTTATTAATAATCCAATTGGCCAGAAAGACAAATGAGTAGAAAATGTCATGTCTAAAGGGAACATGACCCACCTATGACCCACCTATTTTATATACGGGAAATCAAAGAGCTGGGAAGAATCACTACTTAGAAATAACTACACATACATGATCTTTTATATGCATCCCCCTGTAAGAGGAGATTCTCTAGGTTGAAAAAATAATTTTCGGGTCTCAATTTACCCATTTGAGCTCAACATTTCCCCGCTCTAGCTCGTGGGAAGACCAGGCCAGCAGGAAACAAGTTTTGAGTTGAAAATCCTCTTTTATCTGCCACCTCCAACCCCTAAGCCCTTGCTCTTCTATAAGGTAACAGATCCTTAAAATGTCAGTGAGAAATTACAGACATGCATTTTTTGGTCACTTTTGCTCTTTTCTTTATTTTTGGTGTTTTCTTTCTATTTGCAGTTTTAACCAATGTATTACTCGCAGAAGAAGTCAATATCCTGGAAAAAAACAAAAACAAAAAAGATTGAACTGAATAGGCTAGGCTAAAAAACAGATGTAGATTCTGTATTTAAAACCGTATCTAATCAGAGAAATTTGAATTTCAAGTAAGTAAAGGTTGACCCCCCAAAAATATGAAATAATTACCACTTTAAGTCAAAAACTACTTACAATGAAGGTCCTCAAATGAACCTTTAATTTATGGTTATCTGACAGATTTCAGCTTAACGCTAAGAAGTGACGACAACTGAGTCCCATTTGTGTAGGATGGGCAGTGTTTGAAGCACAGCAATTAGCTCCAGGAGAATCACTTCAAAACAAGCATCTTGCAAAGTAGCTCAGACAGCATCTTTTATTTCTGTCCTGAGTTTACAGGACCCCAGGGCATTAGGAAGAGTATAATTTTATTTCATACATAAATAGAATCTATTTACCACAAAAATAAGACATTCAAAGATTGTTTTAGAATATTTTGATTTGATCAAAAACATGTGATAATTTTTTTCTCAGTCTATCTTTAGTGAAAACCGTCAGTAAGAGTCAGTTAGTACTGACTTTGGTTTGTTTCTTTGTTACATAGACTGCTTTGCAAGATAACTCGCATCTAAAACAAAAGAGGTACTGTATTGTATACTTGAAATTTGCTAAAAGGGTAGATCTTAATGTTTTCACACACACACACACACACACACACACAAAGGTAACTGTGAGATGATGTATCTGTTAACTAGCTTGATTGTGATGATCATTTCACAAGGTATATCAAAACATAATGTATGCATTAAATGTATGCAATTTTTATCTGTCAATTATAACCCAATGAAGCTGAAAAAATAAAGAAAAAAGATGAGACAAAAAAATAGTAAACTGAAATAAGACAAAAGGCGGTGGTATACAGAAAGTTTACTCATCTTTCAACGTTGACAATAGTTATACATAGTCCCCCAAACCTCACTCTCTCAGAAAAATCGTCATTGAAAGTTGGGGGCTTTGTTCTATACATCTTGTAGGTTGCATGATTCATTTTTGACACCAGTCTATGTTGCCCCAAGATCTGAGTCCTTGTCTAGTCACTTTTGAGATGCTTACCGTGGTGGGAACTTCCTTGGTAGCTTCCTGGTACACACGCTGCTCCTTGACCAAGTTGCTGGGGAAATAACCCACGACTCCCATCTCGTCCTGGCCATCGCCATAAACCTAAGTGCCCAGAAGAATAGCAATCAGGAAAAAGCTGATGCTGAGTGTCTTCTGAGAAACCCGCAGGCATCCTCTTTGCTGACGGTGAAAATCATAGCTGCCAATACCTCTCTTTCACCCTGGGGTCCAGGGGGCTCTGCGGAAAATCCGAAGTTTACTTGGAGCACTAAGTTAACCCGCAGGAGTTGTGCATCTACTCTTTAGTGGCCCAGCCTTATTTCACTATTTTAGCATGACTTTATTTTATGCAGTCTTGTGAGTTGCCTGAAATCTTTTTTGAACTCATAAATATATAAAGACAGTACATTTTTTAAAGTACTGTAGACACTTATTTTAAATGATGCAAATTTCTCAGTTTTCAACAATTCAAATGAACAGACTTAAAAGGATTTAAATGTAATCCTTCATTAATTTAGAATTCACCTTTAGGGTTGCAGATGAGGACAGAAAATCAACCCTGCTTCATCCCTCCCCAGAGACCACCCCTGTATATTTTAACTGAAAAACGCTGATTCTTTGGAATTAATGAGGGTGCAACGTTTCCTGAAAGAGTATTGATACTTAGACTCACTGCCAACACACATGCCTTCTACTTGGCAAATCTCAGACGTTTTCGGATAAGATTCAAATTCTTTGGGATGTTCAAGCCCCCATGTATTTGACTCTTTTTTTGCCAAAATATCATATTAACCTACATTTGGTTTTGTTATGAAATTGATCTTTCTTTCTTTAAAGTGCAATAATAGCAACTATACCTGAATTTTTGCATTTCCATCTATAATCGCTACATGGTTCTTAACAACTAGTATTAAGCATTAAAATAGGTTGAAGGTGTTCATTTTAAATGATCTCATCTTACACTGCCAGCCCAAAATTCTCCAGCTTCGTTTTCTTTTACCAGCTTTGAGTACACATAGATCTGCTGCCCTTTTTTAACATTAATGAATCTACAGTCCGGGGCATTATAATCTTCTTGAGCTCTAGCCAGAGAAATAGTATCTGGAAGAAAAAATAAATAAATGATTACATTTTAGGCTCCTGAATTTTATAACAGTAAAAGGCAGTGTGTATTAGAAAAACTAGGAAATCAGAGTGACTGATAATTTCCAGTTTACAGCTGGTGTCTATCCAAGAGAAAGAAGACAGCCAAGATATTAAAGCTGCAACAAAACTCAGCCAAGTGAATTCTCCATAGTAAGACACCAAAATGCAGACCAGAAGAAACAAAGTTGATAATATACACATTGGAGAAGACTCACTTCAAAGTACAATTCAATTTTATGCTATTAGTGGATATATTTTCCATTATGTAATAGAAAGATAATGAAAAGCATAAAAAAATCCTTACAGACACACTCATCATCTGCACAGAGCTTCTTGGAAGCTAGACGGTCCATAAATATTCCATGCACAGCACACACAGCCACAAGACCCGGGAGGAAAAGTAACAATATTCTTGCCATCTTCCTTTTTTCTGTTTTACCTTAACCTCTTACTGGAAGCGGGGACTGACTCCAGTGGTTCCTCCTGCCTTTTATGTGAAAGCCAGACCTCTGGGTAAATACTCTGGCCAATTAGAAGGGCCTACCACCCCTCTGTTTTCATAACAAGCTACCCGGTTTCAGGAGCTATTTAGCATCTGATTTTCTAAACAGAGTCAAACTCTGTGTCTTTCTACACACAGATAATATCCAAAATGGTCCACTATTGTTAATGCTGCTTTAGCAGTGGTTTATTGTATCAATCAGCAGGGCTTTGCTGAGAGGACTATGAGAATTTCAAACCATTTTTCGTTTTAACTCACTCCTAATTCTCTTTCAGCTTATGAGCAAAAAAAACAGACCAGCTGTAGGATCTGTTGACAATGTGAGATCTATAGCACAAATAATTTTGATTTAAACAAATCCAGTTAATAAATCTGGATTTACATAACAGATAAATTAAGGATTCTTATGTTTATAAATCTTTCATGGTAGGATTCTTAGAAGGCATGCCTGTCCCAGGCCAAAGATGAATTCTAACATACTAGTTGATGCCACATTCAGACCCTACCAGTGGGGAAAGAGACAGGTGGCTTGGGAGAAATGGGCCAATCTTTCCCCTACCTGTTCTCTCTAAGACTTTCGCAATTCAGTCTCAAATGCTCAAGGGTGACAAGTCAAAGAGAAGAGAATGAAGTTACAAGTTTATGTTACCCCGAACTTCCTACTTCTGAGCATGTTTCCTATGGCGAGAGGAGCACTCCTAGAGGCACCAAAGTGGACCAGTACCTAGCTCCATCTATTCAGCAAATACTTACTGAGCACTTACTGTGCCAGGTATTGCTCTGGGCACTCAAGATATAGCAGTACATTTTTTAAAAGATTTTGGCCCCAAGGGTTGCTTTCTATTAGAAGAGAGAGACAGTAAGTTACCGCTTTTTATAGGGTGTTTGAGGCTGGCATCTCTCCCATCATGTGGCCCTTCCCCTGTTGTTATCCATTGCTTCTAGAATAGAGATCCCTGTCAGGATGCCCTCTCCACCTTGGTTGATCATATGACTTCAGAGCAGTGGCTTCTCCCCCAACCCCAAACTCGTAACCTCATAAAATGAGGGACAAGAACTTAACTTACTAAATAACTTGGTGCAAAACAATTTTCCAAGGGATAAATTGGTAAAGCAAAATATAATAAAAACTTTTTTTTTGTCTTGGGTATATGTGTGTGTGTGTGATAGAGTTTTATTGCTTTGTTTGAGTGTGTCTGTGTGTGTATGTAGAAGAGTTTTGGTGTGGCTATGGGTGTGGGTATGTGTGGCTGTGTGTGTGTGTGTGTGTGTGTGTGTGTGTGTGTGTGTGACTTTCAAGGGAGGATCTTTTATATAGCTGGCCCTGATTGGAAAGTTTGCTTTATTCAATACCTTCATTATAGACAAGGAAACAGGCACAGCAAATGCCAGAGTGGTCTTTTTGGTTTTTGTTGCTTTTTTTTTTTTTTTTTTTTTTTTGAGATAGAGTCTAGCTCTGTCTCCCAGGCTGGAGTGCACTGGTATGATCTCAGCTCACTGCACCCTCCGCCTCCAGGGTTCAAGCAATTCTCCTGCCTCAGCCTCCCGAATAGCTGGGATGGCAGGTGTGCACCATCATGCCCAGCTAATTTTTGTATTCTTAGTAGAGGCAGGGTTTCACCACGTTGGTCAGCCTGGTCTCAAACTCCTGACCTCAAGTGACCCGCCCTCCTCAGCCTCCCAAAATGCTGGGATTATAGGCATGAGCCACCGCGCCTGTCCTGGAGTGGTCTTTTTGAACCATCCTATCTAAAGGTTACCAGAGGGATCATGGTTCGGTGCTGTTTCAGTTCATCACTGTCAACTTAGAATTGACAAATTAGAATAAATCATTTATTTCCTGTTTCACATCAAGGAAAGATTGAATTCGAAGTTATTTTTGAAAGCAGAATGCCTCTGCGATTTTTCCGCTATAGTCAAGCTAAAGGTCTAAATTTCTGGGAAAACTAAAGCATTGATTAAATCTTCTTAATCCTGATTGTGCAGCTGTTTTATGGACTGTTCCAGTCTCAAACCAGCCCTCAGCATAGGACAGTTAAAAGACAATTGTCATTTAAGAGGCACTTGAAGAAATGGGGACTGCAAAAACTCCCCATTGGGGAGCATATAGAGACCCTCCAAAGCAAAATAAAATGATTAAAAACAAAAAGCAAAATGTGACATTCAAACTATCACGACTTAGAAAATCAGGCTAATGCTAATGTGAAGCCATTATTGGACATTTGAAGGTGAAGAAATAAAGTAACGATTTGACGAAGCCTTCTGAGTGCAGCCTGCGAAAGCTTGTGATGTTCTGGCATTCTAAAGTGGCAGAGACAGGACAGAAGTTAGAGGCTTCTTGGTAAAATTGCAGGCAAATAGGAATTTGAACTTGCAATAATTCAGCAAGTAGCTGTGTCTGGCAGTTATGCCGAAGACACTGGGGCCAATGGGGGTTCAGTAAGGGTTCTGGCCCCAGTTTGCATACTTGTTCCTCTAGATTTTCAGATGTATTCTCCAAACATTTAATCCCTAAATGACATTTTTCCCCTTCAGTTCCTAAATTAGATTCTCTGTCTGGAGTTCTTAAATGGAGGCCATGGTTCCTTTAGGATCTAAGCATGGACTCGGTGAAGTGCAGGCAACCTCCTTGTCATGGCCTACAAGCTCCTGTAGGATCAGGCGCCTCTACCTCTGGGATTTCACCTCTTGCTCTCTCCTCTACTCGCTCTGTTCCTCCCATACCAGTTCTCTCTGTCTTTTGAAAACACTAAACTCATTTCTGCTTCAGGCACTCTGAACTTACTGCCTAGGATGCTTTTCCCCAGATACTAGCATTGAGGTCCCTGGCCAAGATGCCTCCATAGACACAACAATTTAAAAGAGCCACTTCAAACCTTCCTCCACCCAATCCCTGTATCACGTGGCTGCAGTACACTGTCCTAAGGCACGTATCATAGCTGACATGCCTGCTTTATTTACTTGGTGGCGGTTTGTCTTCCAACACTATAATGAAAGCTCCACAAGGCAGGGATCTTTGCTATCTTGTTCCTCACTTGTCATTAGCACCCAGAAAAGATACTTGGTGTGCATTAAATAGGTATTCACTGAATGAATGCACAATTGCTCTGAAATTGTATGCATAGGTGTGTGTGTGTGTGTGTGTGTGTATATATATATATATGTATGTATGTATGTATTTTTCCCCTGGGCAAAGTCCCTGGCTTTAAAAAGAGATTGATAACACCTCTAAGAGTCATTTAATAAATCACCAGGGTAGAAATTCTGGGGTCTTGCAACTTGCCACCAAAACATGGTCCCCAGAGCAGTAACTCTGACATCACTTTATAGAAATGAAGTTTCTCAGACCTCACCCCGAGACACAATCTTAAATCTACATTTTAACGAGATACTCAAGTCACTTGTATTCACATTAACATTTGAGAAGTACTGTTCCCAGGCAAGTAAAATACCGTAATTTTAGCTCACATTCTTCATAAGGTCTTGGCTGGATATATTTTCAAGGGAAAACAAATGCCTGTTAAATACTCAAACAGAAGATACTATAAGGCTTAAAGTTTAAAATGGAGTTTTGAGTCTCCTGCAACTGAGGTAGGAGACCAGCAGAACTTGTTTTCTGGTCACAACCCTGCTGACCAGAATAGGATCTGGTCCAGGCAGTATAAAGTGAAGAAACCAGCAGGGACAAGGAGATGTCAAGGGAAGCAATCCTCAGCTGTCTTCATCGTTCATTAGCATAACCCACTCCCATAGTGCCATGACAGTTACAAATGCCATGGCAACAACCTGGAAGTTACTGTCGCTTTCCATGGCAATGACCCAGAAGTTACCACCCCTTTCCTAGAAAGTTCTAAATAATCTGCCCCTCAATTTGTATTGAGCCTCCCCTTAATTTGCATGTAACTAAAAGTGAGTTTAACTGGGTGTAAATGCAGTTGCCAAGAGCCAATACTTTGCCAACTCTGGGCACACTGTGTATGAATTAGCCCTGCTCTGCAAGAGGCAGTACTATTTACCCAAAGACTGTTGTTTAACACCACCAGCTCACCCTTGAATTCTTTCCTGGGCGAAGCCAAGAACCCTCCTGGGCTAAGCCCCAAGCTTGAGGCCTGCCTGCCCTGCATCACAACCATTTCCAGATCTAACATTATCCTCTATTTATCAATATACTGCTTTTGAAAAACACCATTTGAGCCAATGATCTATTATACCCTACTTCATGAAAGTAGAAACCTGCTTTGTTAGTTCTTAACCTTGGGTGACAATGGAATCACCCTGGTGGGTTGGGTTATAAAAATATTGATGACTAGGCTTCATCCCTGGAGACTAATTGATCTGGGGTGTAGATTGAGCATAGGTATTTGAAAATGGCTACCAGATGATTCTAATATGCAGCCAAAGTTAAGAACCACTATATTAAATAACATCTACTCCCTTCAATCATTCCTCAAAACTCACATTCCCAAAGATGGGTGAGATAGGGAAGGTCAAAAGATCTTAGTTTGATCAAATCTTCTTTAAAGCATCGCTAACTCCTTTTTCCTTTCCCCTGCTCCTTATTGAAGGATTACTTTATAGAGTTTGATTGCATAGGAAAGATTTGGGAAAATAAGTGAATAGAATATATTGAAGTTAATGGGACTGGTGGAGAAGTGAGTTACACACAGGGGAAGGGGGAAAGCCAGGATGAACTCAACGCTGTTAAGACTGCAGAGACATTCTTATACATTCATAGTTTTTAACATAACTGTGTAGATATATCCAAAGGTAGACAGACTATATAAAATTCACATGATGAAAGATGAGAAGCTGAGGAATCAGCAGGAGGCTAAAGAAACATGACAACTACATGCAACACAATCCTGGATTGGATTATTGAGCCATTATTGGAATACAAACAAAACTTGGATTGGATGATAACATGGGATTATTTCCTGTTTTGAGACAGGGTTTCACTCTGTTGCCCAGACTGGAGTACAGTGGCATGATCACACATAATTGTAACCTCAACCTCCTGGACTCAAGCAATCCTCCTGCCTCAGCCTCCCCAGTAGTTGGGACTTTAGGCACACGCAACCACATCGAGCTTATTTACTTTTTGTAGAGACAAGGTCTCACTGTTGCCCCAGCTGGTCTTACATGACCCTCCCACTTCAGCCTCCCAAACTGCTGTGATTACAGGCATGAGCCATCGCGCCCAGCCACAGTTCCTGGTTTTGATGGTCATATTGTGGTTATGTGGGAGGGTGGTTTTGTACTTAAGACACACATTGAAGTATCATGGAATAATGGGGTCAACGTAACCACAACCTCAAATAGCCCAGAAGCCTAGAAACATTGGTGATTAATTTGAAGTGTTTATGAGAGTTCTGTGTACTATTTCTGCAACTTTTATATAAATCAGAAATTCTATCAAACTAACTTATTACTCTTCTGCTTGAAATCTAACAGAACATATGCCCAGACTTGTATGTAAATGTTCATAGCCACTTTCTTAATAGCCTCAAATTGGAGAACCCAAATGCCCATTCATTGGTGGAACTGCTGGTATAGGCAACAATAGATACATTTCCAAAGCATTCCAGACAGGGCAAAACTGTTGGGACAGAAAGCAGATCAGTAGTTGACTAGCGCCAGGAGTAGGGGGAAATAGACTGACTGCAAAGGGGTACAAGGGAACTTTTGGGGGTGATGGAATGCTCTGTACTTATGATTATTACATGACTATATACAATAGCCCAAACTCATCAAAGGGAACACTAACATAGGTGAACTTTATTGTATGTAAATTCTAAACCACATTAAAAAATTCTCTAAAATTGTTCCCCATGTCACTCGGATTATAAGCAAATCCTTAAGAAGACCTACACGACCCCTCTTACTATTCACCCCCCTCATTCTCACCCCAGGTGAGCCACCCTGACCTTTCTGCTCCAATACAGCCACTCAAAGCATGGCCAGGCCTGGGCACGGGATCAGTCTGTGAATTACATTCAGTTCTTAGAAAAGTACAGTATAGAAAATTTATCAGCAATTGACATCACTGTAATATACAAGAGCATGGCCCATTTTCTAGTAATTCACTATTAATATATTTTACAAAAGTACAGGAGCTTGACAACTGGGTTAAAAAAGTTATTCAGGAGAGTCAGACTAAATGTGGCAAAGTTATAGGAAAAAATTTTTCCCCTTTATGTATGCATAAGAGTGATGTGATAATCTGTCTACATAAGTCTAAAAGTGGTCTTTCCATAAGTAGACAATAAAAATTCCAAGTGATAAAAGTTTTGTTCAAGGAATAGTAACACAGGAATACCAAAAAAAAAGTACTGTTTTCTTGTTGTTGTTACTATCAATATGTACTATACTTGTAAAAACAAATTGTCCACTTCTGGAGATACTCATGGTTTATTCAGCAGAGGACTGAATCAACAGGCTTAAATATAAATCAAAAGCTAAAGAAAATGGGCTTTGGAAATATTTGAACATTGGTGTCTAAGAATTACAAAGAAGTAGCAAGCTTAGCACTGGCAACTCTTTATTAATCAGCCTATTTGTCTTAAGGGGGAAAAAAAAAAAAAGACTATAGATAGTAACATTTTTACCCTGGAGGTCTTTCACTAAAGAGGTTGGGCATTAACTTCAAAACAGTCCTGCCTCACGAAGGAAAGAGCATTAAATGCAGTTTGAAGACAGCATTCCCGTTCCGTTTTCTCAGTAAACAGTAAGCACAGCCTTTATTTAATACTGAATGAAGAAAACCTGTGGAATCCCTACTACCAGCAAAATAATATATTCATTTCTTAAAAGGATACAAAGATCAAATTTAGATCCCACCTGGATCTCATTTTCTTCTAATACCCAGAACAATCATTGTTACCATTAATACAACAGTCACCTACTAACTTCTGCGATCTAATTCTTCTTAACTTTTATTAAAATGGTTCAATGATGTTGTATCATTAGCTCCATCAAAATAACAGTAGAAAAGCATCCTATTACACAATTTTATAAACCTTAAGTGTGTTCTAGACCAGAACAGTCATTTGATGATAGGGCAATGAGTCAATAAAGAAAGCATTATATACACAGAATACAAAGTTTATTGTACAAAATTAAGGTCTTCGTATTTCATAGTTCACCAAGGCTAAAGAAACACTGGATAATTTAAGTCCTTCACAAAAATTTCACTTTTACTCCCCCTAATCTCTAACTATTAAAATGACCCAGCCAAATGTTATCAAAACAAACACTATAAATAACACCAAGTCCTTTAAAGACGACTGTCCCAAATGTTATTTCTTGGCATAGGTGATCTTCATAGCATGGGACGGTGTGATCTTAAATCCCTGTAAAGCATCCCTGGCAGCTCCAGCCTGCCCATCATTTTCAAATTCAACAAAAGCAATGTCATGCCTCCCTGGTACCAGACGCACTTCCTTGAAGCCAGGGAACCTATAAAGAAGGAAAACAATTCACGTATACAGCAAGTACATAAATGTTGGCTTTGTGTTAAAATTTGTTAAGCAACTTCCTAATACTAGTCCAAGAAAAATAACCATACCTTACCCAAGAATACTGAGTAGATGGAAGAGCCTAAAATATAATTAACACCATGGAGGAACTGCAAGAATAAACTAATTCTATTTTATATTATATCAAAGCTTTGTTATATCAATCAGAGTTAAGAATTCAAACATTAGAGGAAATTTAGCTCTTTATTTGCTAAATCGGCAAATTGGCTCCAATTCATGATTCATCCCAGACCAAATCAATGAACCTGTAAGGAATTACTGCTGTGTGATCAATGGATTCAACCCATGGAAGTGCTACTTGTCCTGTGAGGAAGCTCTCAGAAAACAGACTTATTTATGAAAAAACTTACTGATTAAACAGCATGGATAACATCATCTCGTTAGTCTCTTCTGGTAAGTTATTAAGGAATAAAATATAGTTTGGAGGGTAATCAGGGACCTATTAAAAAGTAAAAAGGCAAAGTTAGCTTGTAAGTTTAAACAGCATCGTAAGCTAGGCACGTGAAATCTTACTATATCAAACAATAAAGCTGAAAAACAATGACACTGGAGAAATAAATCAAAACCTTACAGTAACTAAGCAAGGCAGACATTCAAGTCAAGACATTAAAGGTTTGGAAAATTGCAAATCTCTTAAGTGTTTAACAGTATATGAAACAATTATATTTTACACATCTGGAGGTGAGTCGTGATTGGAGAATTTTGTCACCTGGATAACATAATCAAAGATCTTAACAAAATTACAGATGGCCAGCAATGTCACCCCTCCATAGCTGGTCACCAAACTCAGTATCAGATACTTGATTCCTCTTTACTATTACTACTTCCCAGCATATTAAACCCAAAAAAAGAAAAAAAAAGGAACTAGAACGATTACCACTGAGAACCACTGCTTAGGGACTTTTAATGTACTTATTTTTGGCAAGTAAATGAGATATGCATAGCATCTAGTTACATACACACAAGCAGTAACAAACACTTAGTTTATTAGATATTACTCATTTGATATCCCACCCAGAGGTTATGGGGAACCAGAGAAAGGGTCTTGTATATAAGAAAAGAGCTCTGTCTTCAGGCTACTTTCATTAAAGAGAAAAGAGCAAGTGTAAAAAACAATTAGTGAACAACTCAAGGCTTAGAGGATTAAGTGCTGGCATTTGTGAACTGGACTATAAATGCTGAGGAGATGAAAAATCCAAGTAACTTAAAACAAGAGGAGAAAAACCTCAGTGGTACAGAGAATTCTATGGATTTAAGGATCTTGCCAGACTCCAGCATCTGAAAACAAAAGTATGAAACCATCAGCACATTACTGAGGCTTTCTCTTTGAGGTACATCGTGGGGAGATTTAATACGGAGTTTCCAAAACATTTGTACAAGGAGGCTTTAAAAAAAAAAAAAAAAAAAAAAGGCTGAAATTTATTTATGTTCAGGAAGTGCAAAGGTAACTATAAAACTATATGCCCAAAGAGTGTATGAGTCTCCAGAAAACACTAGCGTTTCAACCAAATGGAATGGAAGAGAGCCCCTGGCCCTTCCAGTTAACCCTCACCCATGCAACTGTGGAAAGCTTTAGGTACTGCAGGGAAAACAAAAATGTTTGCTCCCAGCCCTCGCAGAGTTTAAAGTCTATCATTTTGATTCTGTCACTGATTCATTATGGAAAACAAGAAATAAAGTCAGGTGTTGTTTTCTCCCTCTAAAAAGGAATTAAAATGTTCTTCAGGAGTGAGTTTGTACATTACAGTGGGGACAATTTAACGCACTATGTCTTGCAGATGAAATCATTTTGTTTTTGGAGACATGCAAATTGTTGTATACTACCGTTGTAATTTTTACAATCTTATTTTAAGGTAAGCACGACATGGAAAAAAAATTACCTGAGGATTTGGTGTTGTATTTCCTTGGGTATTAGCTGAATTTGGAGTTCCCTAAGCAAAAGAAATCGGGAGAGTTTAAATATCCAATCCCTCCAAAAAGGCAGCAGGTATTTATATTTATAAATACTGCATTAAAAATAACATTAATTCCAACAGATATCCTTCTTATTCCATCTAATTTTACTTTAAGAATTTATATCTTAACATTGACTCAAACATTCATGTTCTTAATTTGTTGGTTATTTTTGTTAAGGCTAGCCCTAAACTTTAAATAGTATATTATAAAATTTAACCTCTTAGCTTTAAAATTATGAAGAAATATAACAGAAAACCAAGGTCTAGTCTTACTTTTAAAAACAGCTGGACATAAGTCATTTAGTAAAACTGACTTTTAATCACTTTCAATCCAGAAGTAATTACTTTTTGGTAAATTTCACTTTTTTTTTTTTTTGAGATGGAGTCTTGCTCTTGTCGCCCAGGCTGGAGTGCAACAGCGTAATCTTGCCTCACTGCCACCTCTGCCTCCAGGGTTCAAGCGATTCTCCTGCTTCAGCCTCCTGAGTAGCTGGGATTACAGGCATCCACCACCACAGTCGGCTAATTTTTTGTATTTTTAGTACAGATGGGGTTTCACCATGTTGACCAAGCTGGTCTCGAACTCCTGACCTCAGGTGATCCACCCACCTCAGCCTCCCAAAGTGCTGGGATTATAGGCATGAGCCACCATGAGGCCCAGCAGTTAATTTCACTTTTATCTGGTATTTCAAATTATATTTTGTATTACTGAATTGTTCAAAGAAAGACACTTTGAGTGAAGTACTCATGATTAAAAACAATAACTACGGTATTATTTATAGGCAGCAAAACTTGAGAAATAAACCAAAAAGTATTAACATATTTTAGAGAATGATGGAATTAAATGCCATGCAAATTTAAAGTTGCTTAATATAAATCTGCATATGTTAAGGTTTATATTTTGTTTCTTAATACTGAATGTTAGAAGTCAACCATTCTAGCTTCTTAAAACCACCTTTTAAACACACATTTATGCACATATACAGACAAGCCTAAGATCATTCCTCACCTGTAAGACAAGCATCTATCAAGTTTTTAACACTAAGACAAACAGGAACTTTTTTGGTCTATCTTACCTGGCCAGGTTTTTTGTTTGTGGTTGTTGCAGTCTGTTCCACAGCTTTGGCTTTTTTCTTTTCTTTCTTCTTTTCTTTGTCAGCAAAAGTTCCACGCATTTTAGATATTATATCCGAATCTGTTTTTGCATACTGTATTCGCTGTTTTAATTATTTGAAAACAGGTTACTTCTCATGCTGAAGGATGTTTACACTAGTCATTAATATTTCAAATTTCATTACGCAAATACACTACAAGCTAATTTTAAACACATCCTTAAGGAAATCTGTCAAAATATACTGAGTGCCAAATGGAAATAAACTGTGGGATATAATTCATAATTTAGACAAAGTAAGATTCAAGTGTGTTTATTAGATTAAAAAACCCATACATTTTCGTGTGAGAAACATAGGACTTTGAAATATCTGTGCCACGGCTTCTCTCCATGTAATCGAAGAACAGAGAAAAGTGCATTGAAGTGTTAAAGGGACAAATGAGTGGGCTCCACCAGCGGGCTTTGGAATCCAGAACTGTTCAAATCTCCTCGGTGCCTGGGAATCCGGCTCAGAACCAGCTATTCTAATCCAGAGGTTTTCAACAAACAACATATAAAACAAACAAAAGCAAAACTGCTCAGCCTGATTAGAACTGTGGCTCCAGAGCCCAGTGGAGGCCAAATGCCCTTTTCCCTCCAAACCTACCCGCACCCCATAATCACAGAGGGAGCACCTGGGGATGCGATTTGAGGGAGCTTGGGAAAAAGAAAGAAAATCACTGTTCTAGACTAATGCTGTTTTACAGATAGAATAGGCCCACAGAACACTAGGGCTAGTGTGGCAGAGCCCCCACAGAACAACTTTTCTGGCAGAAAATTAGATGGAAAATTTCTTTTAAACCATTTTTAATAAGTTTATTTGAATTTTTTTTTCATTTTTCAGAATTCTAAACATCATAAATTTGAGGCCTTAAATATAACTTTTTTGCCTGGTAACTTTTTGGATGTACTGCTCTGAGTTGTAACACTTGTATAGATTAATGTATCTACCACCACAAACAGGACACAGGGCAGTTCTATCACCTAAAAATCCCCTCATGCTTCCCCTTTGTTACCCCATCCCTCCTCTTCCAAACACTCATCTGTTCTCTGTCCCTGCTGCCCTTTCCAGAACGTCACACAGATAGGATCATACATCACGTAACCCAGAGGCTGCCTTCCTTCACTTGGCATAATGCCTTTGACATTCATCTATGCCGTTGCATTTAACGGCAAGTAGTATTTCATCGTATTGATGTACCAATTTGTTTTACATCATCCAATGAAGGATATTTGGTTTCTAGTTTTTGGCGATTATGAATAAAGCTGCTATAAGCACGTATGTTTAAAAAAACAGATGCACAAAGAACAAAAACAACAACAACAAAAAATGCATTAGAGAGTTGCCTTCCCGTTACCAGTGACTCAATAGAAGCAACGACGTGTCAATCAGCTGTGGGATGTGTCATATGGAATGTTACTTCCAACAGTTAAAGTACAGAAGAAGACTGGGAATGACTTTCCTTTGAATCTATCACCTTTACGTGAAATGACTTTAACAGCGGAAACAACCTACCAAATTTTAAAATGTTTTAAAAGAAAACAAAAGAATGGAATCACAGATAGTGTGACTGGACCACTTGCATATTCCTTCCATGCTGGCACCAAGAGGCACCTGTTACAACAGGGAAAGGTTCAAAAACTTGTCCAGGATAGCATTTCATCAATTATAGTTTGCATTCCAAATGCCTGGAAAGCAGGTAAAAGCTCTGATGTAGTAGGTCTGGGCGAACCTGGGATTCTGCACTTTTAACAAGCACAAAGGTGGTAATGTTATTGGCTTGGGGACCACACTTTGAGTAGCCCTGGCCTAAAGCATTATCACATAACTACACTCAGCGCCAATGAACTGTCTGAATATTTCTGCCATGAGTTAAACTGTTATCTAGATATGACTATCTGTAATCTCCAACCTCCATTTCAAGCAAACTCTTCCTCCCCGGAGCTGAAAGAATTACTGCCTCTCTGATCAAAATGCAATAATCCTACAAATTACTGCTCTGTAGTAATCTGTACAAATTACTTTGTATAAAATAGGTATGCAAAATTTTATTGCCTTTTATTGTATAACAAGAATTTGATCTTGATCTGAAGAGAACAAGAAACAATTTAAAGTAGTGTGGATTAACAAAGCAGAGAATTTGTCAAAACCAAGATCAATTCTTCCTCTTCTTTTACTTTAGCTAGAGATGACTACACTGGGGAACAAGAGGGGAAGGAGTAAGCCTAAACCCACACCTCAGAATCCCAGGCTCTTTCTGGCTGGTCTGGGCTGCTGTACCACAGTGGCTCTAAGTGTGCTTATCCCTGCATGTAACTCTGCTAGTCTTGCCATCATCATCTAACCAAAAGGAGACAGCTTGAAGGGTTAGACTAACTTCTGACTTCGTCGTAAGGGTTCCCTCACAACTCCCTTGGATCTACAACCTTGTGCCTGACCTGAATAGATCTTGGGTGACCTGATTTGTCTGTCCTTATGACCGAGTCACCTGTGAAAATATCTGATCTCAACAATAGCTCTTAGCTGGTTCATTTATACCAGTGGTTCTCAACCAGAGGTGATTTTGTCTGCCAGGGCACAACTGGCACTAGCTGGACACATTACTCGTTGTTATGCTACTGGCACCCTGTGGGTAGAGGCCAGGGATGCTGTTAAACAGCCTGTAATGAACAAGACAGCCCCTGCAACAAAGAATCATTCATTTCAAAACGTCCAAAGTGAGAGGGTTGAGAAACCCTAGTCTAGACTAAATACCTGTTAGAGATAAAAGTCTAACCACAACTTAGAGAAGGGCAAGATTTACTTATACCAAAGTTTTCATGACGAAGCCCTTAGGAAGACGGTTCTACTTTACTAAGGTACTTTTGGCATTAACTAAATGTCCTTGAATCAGAGAGAGTAATTCTGTTCTGAGTTCCAAGTCATAGCAAATTTTGTTCATTTCTGATCTGGTATGTTGGAGTTAAAACAGAAGAGCAACTAAAACCACAATAAGACACAAACAAGACAGCCCAAAAAACTCTATTTCCCCTCTTCTAAGATGCTGGAGATTTGGCAGTATCTGTTACCTTTCCGTAGGAAAAGAATGGACCTCCCAAAATGCTTCAATACAATAATCAATCTAATACACTTTTCCCACTAATTTTAAAAAATAATTAGTTGGCAAGGTGAAGCTGGTGCCCAACACAGCAAACCATTTCCTTTCCTGTATCTGAGTAACAGACACATGCAAACTTGTCATCTCCACTTAGCAAAATAGCTCTAAACCCTCTATGGGAAGAAACTGTACTTTCAAGTTAAGGTAATTTTAGATGTAAGCTAAAACCCAGACCCCGTGCCGCTGCCAACTGAGATCTCAATTATGGTGTTTCTTCATACTACCATGCGAGACCCACTGGTTTCAGGCAACACCAATTTACTAAAAATTAGATTACACAGATACTATCCCACAGTTTCCTGGGATAAGCCTTTCCACAAAAATGGTGTCTAGTCAGCTGGGAAGTGATGGGAAAACAAGGGCTGGATAGAGGATGAGAAGAACTTGCTCTAGTAACAGAAAAAAAGGTGCTCAGTCCTGAATTAAACATCGTGGTATAAAACAGCAGTCCTCAATCCTGACTAACATGGTGAAACCCCATCTCTACTAAAAATACAAAAAATTAGCCAGGCATGGTGGCAGGCGTCTGTAGTCCCAGCTACTTGGAAGGCTGAGGTAGGAGACTGGCGTGAACCCGAAAGGTGGAGCTTGCAGTGAGCCGAGATCGCGCCACTGCACTCCAGCCTGGGCGGCAGAGCAAGACTCCGTCTCAAAAAAATAATAATAATAATAAATAAATAAATAAACAAACCAACCAACCAACCAACCAGGGGTCCTCAAACTACTGTCTGTAGCGAACACTGCCTGTTCTTATCTGTGACTGCTCTTCCTGCTATAAAAGCAGAGTTAAGTGGTAGTTGCAACACAGATTATCTGGCTTGCAAAGCGTAACATATTTACTATCTGGTCCTTTATGGAAAGTTTGCTGACCTGTAATACAGGAAAAAAAAAAATCACAATACTAGTTGTTAGATTAGTTGTCAACTCCTGATGCTGCCGCTGGTTATATTACTTTAACCTAGATGAACAATTAAACTTTCTGTGCCTGGTTCTTCATCTGTAAAATGAAGGGATTAGATCAGTGGTCTGTACCACAGTCTGAGCCAAACCCTGCCCATGGCCTGCATGAACTTTTTTTGATAATGTTAAAGGGTTGTTAAAAAACATAAGCACATAAAAGAATAGGTAACAGAAACCACATATGGCCTACAAAGCCTAAAGTATTAGGTACTTCTTTACAGTTTTTGCTGATGCCTGCATTAGACCAAAGAACCACTTTGTTTACACTTCAGAGGTGGTAAAACTGACCCATGCACAGAGCCAGTTAACAGTACAACCAGAATGAAGACCCAGCTCCTCTAAACCCTGGCCTTTGGTTTTTTGTCCAACACTCCTTCACATCACATTCTAATCGCAGAAAAAAAGCAGTTTGGAATCCACACCCAAGGTACGGTATATTCCCTCAGACATAGAGAATCCCTTGCTTCACACTCTGTGGTCACCCTTATCTAATCCTCTACATCTCTGATTTACATCAAGGGCCTCCTGAGTTTCCCACTTCCTTTCTGTCCCTCCCACAATGCGACCTTCATCCAGCAGCTAGATGTGAATCTCATTATGTCATTCCTGAGTTTAAAACTCTCCAAACAATTTCATTTCCATTGTTATTCCTAAAACCTATGAGTTTGAACCTATCATTTTTCTTTAGATCACTGTTTCATCTAGACTGTGTAGCTTCTGACATATAGTATTTCACTATAGCATTTTCTAAAACTTCAGACTGAATTTCCCCTTTAGCTTCTGACTTTTGTAATGTTTTACAAGTTTACAAACAGGTTTCTTTTCAAGTCTTCCAGGTTATTATTAATTTCTAACTTTTTGAGATAAGACTATTGCCTAGACTGCCATTATTTTTTTAAATATTCTACATCTCAATGTATTTTGTTTTCAGCCATCTTAACCGTCATAAATTAAACTCTACTGCTATTGTTTTTCTATAAAAACACATAAACCCAAACACACGTAATTAAAAGCAGAAAGCAACAGCCACAGTTTCAAGCATATTTACAAATCTACTGTACCATCAATATCATTAATTTCTTGATTAAAGTGAAATAATAGAATTGGCTTACCATTGGTTTACCATAAAATGGAAATCCTTGTAACTGTCTCAAAGCATTCGTGGATGAGCCCAGTTCCTTAAATATGACAAACGCCTGCCCCCTCATCTTCATGGTCTTTAAAGCCACAATGTCCACCACATGACCGAATTGAGAAAACAGGGCATACAGGGATCTCTTCAATTCTGTCCAAATTAGAAAAGAAACAAGTCATTGGTAATAAGATAATGACAAAAGTCTTCATAAAATGATACTGCATTGAGTTGCCTCCCCACCATTCACTTATTTATAGTTATATATATTTAATGTTTATAAAAACATATACTATTCCCATTGGCTATATGTAATTTTATAAGTCAGATGAAACCATTATATCTATGAGTAGAAACAGACTGTACACACTGTCAATTCCTACCTATTTTTGTTTTTTAAAAGTCTTCAAATCCCTATAGGTAATGGGATAAACCATTATTTCAGGCACTAAGACGACGAGGTAAGAGGTTTTGAGGCAATACAATTTTTAAGACAGTAGTAAATAAACACATTTTAGTAGTGAACAAGTATTTTTAAAAGCACTTACCTTCCTTTTTAATTTTGTCATTCATATTGTTGATATAAATTGTATGATTTGGTCTGATATCCATGTTTGTGTTAAATTCTTCAGAAGGAGACAGTAAAAAATCTGTTATAAAAAGGAAGGAGTAAATTATACTGGACTGTGGCATAAGGACACAACACACGAATTATTAACCTTTCACTTCTCTTTCAATCCCAATTGTTAGATGATGTCAGTTTGGCTGAAGCCTTTAGTGTACCTCCAGCACCTACTAGCCCTCCTTTTCATACAAAAGGAGAAGAGTTTCTCATGCTCAAAACTTGGAGCACCAATACCTAGCCAGATTTTAGTAACATCATTTAATTCAACACATTTATTTTCACACTTACTTTTCACTTATGACAAGTGATATTTTCTTTCCACCTCCTCAATAATTTAAAATGTAGATTTGAAGAAAAATGACCAAGTAGCAAATGTACATCCAGTGAAAATCATAAGGTTAGACATTAATGGAGTTTGCCAACTACTTCTTGGGTGCACTTACAAAGTCCTTCCATACCTATTACTTAATTTGTATACAGTATCACCAAGCTGTCTGGACTCCAAGGTTACCTCTAACCGACTTGAAAGAAGGGAGCTCAATGACAGCAGTGTGGCATGACCGTTAAACTCAGATTCTAGTACCAACCATATGTGAATTCAAATCCTATTTATGCTTCTTATTAGCTGTTTGCCTGAGGGAAGTTCCTTAATCTGTCAGGTCCTCATCAGTAAAATGAGAATGGTAACAGAACCTACCCAACCGAACTCAGAAGACTAAATGAGTTCTAGCACAGTTTTGCATCAACGGTAAGCACTTAAAGTAGCTATTATTAACAGCTATTACCAGTTAAGGAACGTGCCTAAGGTCACACAGCTAATAAGCATCAAGCCTGGAAATTCAGCCCTTGCTTTCTCCTCTACACTTCTCTTCCTCGTCCACCACACTATTGCATTTTTTTAACGTGGTTTTTACTTGCAAACTGTGAAGTTGCTTGATTTCCTTGTGTGCCCCACATATTCCTTTATGTCACAAATATTTACGGAGCATCCACTGTACGTGAATAGCATTGGATGATTGACAAGGGAAGAGCCTACAAGCAGGGGCTGCACTTGTGCAGGTAACACGTAAAACATAACGCTTCTCCAAGCCTTGGGACCCCCTAAATCGAAATCTGGAGAAGCGGCAAGGGTCACAAAGGAGACGACGAAAGGGAAGTGACTGAGGCAGAGGTCAAACTGAAGGTAGGGGGACAAAGGGGAGGCTCTTGCGGGGTTTCATGCGAGGTTTGATCGTGGGCTGGACTGTTACAGGGGCACCCTGAATTACCCGCCACTACCAAAAGGAAACCGCTGGAAGACACCTGAAAGCGCAGTGAACTGTCAGCTCCTCGCACAAGCAGACGGACATTATCCTTTACTTCGTAAGCGCAAGCCTCCCGCCTCTCCAGACACAAGCACCTTCGCCCGAGGCCCCCTAACGAAGTCCGAGGGAGCTGCCACGCGATGCCCGGCCCCTGAGTCAGTCTCCCATCTCTTCCTCGCCCCCAGCCTACTCGGGTACTCCGAGATCCAAATCCGGGCCAAACGCGTCCCCACCCCAGCTTCGCGCTTCGTCCGCTCGCAGCTGCAACAGGGGAGAGAAGGGCCGAGGAGCCAGGAAAACCGAAACAGCGAGGTAAAAAGTGCACGAACCCACCTAAGGCCTACGCAGTCTCCCGTAAGAACCAAAAGCAGGAAACGGAGCCAGGCACCGGAAGTAACGTTGCCACGCTCCTCAATCGAGCGCCCACAAGTCTACAAGCCGAGCGCAGAGCAGATCGATGCTTCCTGGTCTCTGGCGGCCCAGGCTGGTAGGTAATCTCTTTGCGCGTGCGTATGCCCTGCGGGCAGGAGAAGAGTCCGGAAATGGAAATGGGAAAAGGGACGGTGTTTGTGGGGACAATGCTGCGAGGGAATAGGGAAGAAGAGTGAATCATTTCCCTTACCACGACCTTGCGAAGCTTTGCCCCGCGCAAGAGTGCCTTCCACCTTTACAAATCCTATGTAATTTTACAGGCTCTGCCTCTCATGCTACGGGGCAGTTAGTCCTGGTTTCGCCCTTCTTTGGGCTCTGGCTGCCCCGGTTTAAAATCACCTTTAGGATAGCCGGTTCCTCCGGCCTCCAAGTCTCCTCTGATTCCTGGGGCTCTGCAGGAACTGTCCTCCAACACTCTGCTGATGAACTTGAATCTCAGAGGCTACCCAGTTTGAGGGCCCAGGGCAAACAGAACTGGTGTCTGCCCAATTCTCATCTCTCACCAGATAAGGCAACCATGCTGAGTAGAACCCAATCATCTGTAAGATCATCTGCCTCAACTCACTCGAAAAAATAATTCCCTACCACCCTTCCCACTCTTTTCTTCCCACAAAAAATCTAGATTTTTCTAGGGTAGTCTAACGAGTTAGTATTTATGCCAAGCTGAATGGGAATTCCCAAAAAAATTCCCATGCTTTCATTCATTCATCCATTCATCAGATGTCTGTAAAGCATCACCTGGAATATGAAATGGTTGTTAAGAGTCAAGTGGAACCTAATCTTGTACCCTCTGCTTAACTAATCTCTCTGATCTTCACTCTTTTTGTCTGTAAAATAGGGATCCTAATAGTATCTCCTTCTAGTTGTTGTAGGCATTAAATGAGCTAAAATAAATGTAAAGTGGTTGGCACATTACCAGACACAAAATAAATGCTCAAAAATGTTATTTCTGAATTCTGGCTATAACTTGGTTATATTGGTGAGGCTCAAAAATGTTATTTCTGAGTTCTGGCTATAACTTGGTTATATTGGTGAGGCAGGTAGCTGTCAAATAAGTTAGTTTTATCAGCTGGGAATTTTTATTTTTTAAAAAACACCTAAAGTTGCAACAACTTGAAAATAATATAAGCTTCTTAAGGGTGGGGATTTTGTCTGCTCTGTTCACTCAAGTACCCTTAGTAATGAGAATAGTGACTGATAATTAATATGTATTGGATAAATGAATGAATGACATGGAAAACTAGGCAACAGTAAACAAATATGCTTTGAACATGCCGATGAGTGTAGAAAATGTTAAGGGATCACAGAAAAACATCCTTTTATTATATAGATCTAATACTACAAGAAATGGCTGAGTGTAGTAGCTCACACCTGTAATCCCAGCATTTGCGGAGGCTGAGATAGGAGGACTGGTTGAGACCAGGAGTTTGAAATCATCCTGGGCAACACAGTGAGATCTCATCTCTGAAATAAATAAATAAATAAGAAGAAATAAATGAGAAATTCCTATCTCAGTCAAAGAATTATATCTTTAACAAATTAAAAGAGAATATAAACTTAATGTAAACAATTTCTAAATAACAAAGGACAAGCTATTCTGCATATTAGTATGAGCATCTCAACAGTTAGTTCTATTTGTTGATAATGAGGATGGCTAAACTACTGAGAATAAACTATACTCTTTATTATATAAGGGGATCTAGCCAAGAGTTGATAACTGTTAAAAGAGAATAAGATGTGATTATGCAAAGACACTCCAACCTAGAAGAAAATACCACAGGAAACACAGAGGCCTGAAGACAGACTGCATATCATGTTCTATTAACAATTAAATTACAGCTATTGTACATTACACTGTGAGAAGCAAATCATCCATTGCCAACTCAGCTGCAATGGTCTGCATGCACTTTTCCAGGTTCTTCTGAAAAGAGCCAGTGCACTGTCCTTGGGAAGTCACTCCGTGCATTCCAGTAACCCGTTAATGATTCTCAGTGGTTTCCTGAATGATCTGAGAAGCCAGTAATTGAAAACAGTGCAGGAAGGGAATGATAGGGATCGAGTAGCTTTTCTGGTTTTGTGAGAAACCTTGCATAGCCTGGTTATATAACTATATTAAGGATATTATAGCAGCTAAACTATGGTCACATGTACTGTAAAACATCATCACTTTATAACCAGATCCACTTCTTGAGGGTCAGATCAGGAATCAGATGTCCAAAACTCACATTTTTTAAAACTAGAAGGGCAAATGAGTTTTGTTAGTTCTGCTCAGTCTGTTCTTTCATATTTGGGTTAGGCATCATGATTTACTTTCCTGTGAAACAGGTTTTTTTTAATCGAGAGAAACAAGAAGGCAGTGCCATAACCACCCTATCCAAGTGTCATGCATCTGCAGATGATAAAACTCGCTTATTTTCGGAGTAGCAGAAAAATTACTACAAACAGTAGGGAATAAAACTGTGCCAAGATGTCTAAATTGTAAGGATGATAACTGAGGTGTCTCTTAGTGACTCCGAATACACATATATTTTCTACCTTATCTGCACCTGTTTTATATTTCTCATTAAATGTTTTTGGTATCCTGCTGCAGTAGTTTTGAGGAGCCATGTATAAAGGAAAATGCATCATAAAACTGGTGGATAAATTTTGTCTTATTTATGTTAGATAGAGCCACAAAATGTATGGCAATTCATCTGTATCTTCTTTCTCTCCCTAGATGGTGATTACATTAAGAAATTTATCTAGAGTGGAATTATTTTCACAACAAGCATTAAACAAATCTAGGCGTTATTGTTGAGCATCAAATCAGGTTTATGTTTTCCTGGGAGGTTGGGACAATATTGGCTGAAACTTCCTAAAAAGCACCACTCTCCCTCCCCCAGTTCAGGGAGGAAATAATTTTGTGCAATTAATTTTCTTTCATTTTATTTCTTACTATTTTATTCTTTGTGGATACAGTCTTGTTTTTAGGAATGAAAAAACCCGAATATGACTATTGCCTCTGATGTGTACTACTGTATTAATGTTAAGAATAGTGTGTCTTTCACATGCACCAGAATACCCTCTCCCCAGAATGGGTGATATCTCAGATAGGTTATGAGAATGTGTGCATTCCATAAAGTTTGGAAATGGTAGTTTTTCTTTGAGGACCTGATCATTAATCCAAAGAAGTGTGGGGAAAACTTGAACTTTTTTGGTGAACTTTTTGTGAGACGTGTAGGTTGTGCTCAGCATTGTATCAACTGCCCTCCCCTAAAGCCAGCTAAAGTAGCATCATACAACTGCCGTTCTCTTTGAGACTAGAAAATTAAGATTTCAGTCCCATGAGATGCCCCCATGAAACAAAATATTATGCACACACAACTTTTAAATATAGTGGGTTTTGCTTCTCCTATAATTAATCACTGTAAATTTTTTTGTGTCTTAAGCCTTAGGACAGTTTGGAAATACAAATTTTAAAAAGAACAGCTTAAAAAAAAAAAAAAAAAAAAAAGATTGCCAGGCCCTGACTGTAATTTCAAAAGTGATATGTCGTTGATTTCATGGGCATTCCCCAGATATCTTAATCCAGTGCTGAGAAGCTGCATTTGTAGCAAACTTCCAGATGCTGCTGATGCTGCTAGTCCCAGACCACATTTTGGGTAGCAAGAACCTAAACATTTCTTTTTTAAGAATGGTTGGGGCCAGGCATGGTGGCTCAGTTTGTAATCTCAGCACTTTGAGAGGCCGAGGTGGGTGGATCACGAGGTCAGGAGTTCGAGACCAGCCTGGCCAACACGGTAAAACCGTGTCTCTACTATAAATACAAAAATTAGCTGGGCGTCGGTGTAATCCCAGCTAGTCTAGAGCCTGAGGCAGGAGAATCACTTGAACCCAGGAGGCGGAGGTTGCAGTGAGCCGAGATCACGCCACTGCACTCCAGCCTGGGTGACAGAGCTAGACTCTATCTCGAAAAAAAAAAAGGAAAAAAAAAAAATGAATGGTTGGTAGGCCAGCCGTGGTGACTCATGCCTGTGGTCCTAGAGCTTTGGGAGGCTGAGGTGGGTGGATCACTTGAGGTCAGGAGCTTGAGACCAGCCTGGCCAATATGGTGAAACCCCTTCTCTACTAAAAAAAAAAAATTAAAAAAAAAAAAAAGCCAGGTACAGTAGTGCATGCCTGTAGTCCCAGCTACTCGGGAGGGTGAGGTGGGAGAATTGCTTGAACCCGGGAGGCAGAGGTTGCAGTGAGCCAGGATCACACCACTGCACTCCAGCCTGGGTGACAGAACAAGACTCCACCTCAAAAAAAAAAAAAAAAAAAAAAAAAAAAGAATGGTTCTAGTATCAAACTGTAGTTATCTTTGGAGCCACAGAGATTCTATCAGATACAGAATCCTATCTTCTTATCCAAACACAAATCGACTTATTTCTTTCAACGGAGCTTGTATTTCTTTGAAACTTTATTTTAACTGCCTTCTACTGGGCATTTGGAAATAAACCTGAAATGAGAGAAAGAAAGTCTGGAATATGTATTCTTTTTAACAGGCAATTGCTTGTTTGGGGAGCCCTGGGTCACTTTCTAATTTGTGATAGTCATTTCAGCTGTTCACAAATATTGTGATTCTTATTCCTTCCAGGCTCATGGAGGGCTTGCACTACTCTACATCCTTTGAAAATGGGCATGGCCATGTCACTGCTTTGGCTAATGAATTGTGAGAGCATAAGACATGCATCACTTCCAGGTAGGAACATCACAGGCCAGTGCACAATTTGCCAGGTGCCCTTTTTCCTGTCCTTGTGATCTTGGAAACGTATCCCAAGATGGAACCTCTGTCAAGTGTAGGCCTTAATGATTAAAGGACACCCTCCTCCTGCCCAACACACACATACACACAAACACACACAAGTTCAAATTGGTCATGTAATATAAGCAAGAAATAATTAACTGATATTTAGGGGATATTTGTTAATGCAGCATAGCCTAGCCCCTCCTGACTTTATACATTGATCAAAATCACCTCTGAGAAATAATTCTTGGCTGGGTGTGGTGGTTCACACCTGGCCTGTAATCGTAGCACTTTGGGAAGCTGAAGCAGGCAGATTGCTTGAGGTCAGTAGTTCAAGACCAGCCTGTCCAACATGGTGAAACCCCATCTCTACTGAACATACAAAAACTAGCCAGGCATGGTTGCATGTGCCTGTAATCCCAGCTACTCAGGAGCCTGAGGGAGGAGAATTGCTTCAACCCAGGAGGCGGAGGTTGCAGTGAGCTGAGATCCTACCGCTTCACTCCAGCCTGGGCGACAGCACAAGACTCTGTCTCAAAAGAAAAAAAGAATTCTCACAAAGTTCAAAAGAATTTTGAACTATTTCACGACTACAAACTATTTTTGGTACATAAGAGATTATATGTCTGAGGTGACTCATACCTTTTAAAGGGGAAGTCAAAGTAATCAATGTTCTTCTGCATAACTGACATTCCAAAAAAAAAAAAAAACAAAGTAATCAATGTATAGCTATACGATCCATCTTCCGAATGACCTTTATTGAGTAATTTAATCCCACATTTATTAAGCACCTATGTAAGATGACTATATGTGAGAAAATATGTTAGGGCCAAGCTTAGAGAAGAATTCATGGTTGGCAGCATTTTCACAAACCTTTAGAGAAGGATTCTGAAGACATAAAGAGATACCATGCTCACGGTCTAATTTTAGGTTGGTAGAATCATCTTGCAACACAAGATCAGGTATGTATAAAACGTATCAGGCAAGATTTAACCTCAGGAGACAGGTTGGATTCTTATCACAAAGAAGTTGAAAGAAAAAATTCTGAAGCCTCTAGTTTGAATTGCAGATTATGCATGGACATGACAACCCTGAAAATTATTTCTGTCTAGGGAATCCAAAATAATTATGTAAATGAGGCTGATACTTCCTATTCTATTTTAAGGTGAATGTGGGTCAGTTCAAGTATTGTAAATTTCTCTATCATTCACTGGCAGAAACATCATCACAAGGGTTAATGAGTTTATTAAAATTGGTGGTGAAAAAATAAGAAATTGTGTTTGTCTCATTGATACTGGATGGTCGCTCTTTAATCATAGTCTTTCTTCAGCTTTAATATGAAGCTACTTTCTGACATTTAATGTTACCAAATTACTTCAGCTTTCCAAAGATATTAATATAACTTATAATACATTTTGTCATCTCAGTAGAGGATTATAAATAAGACTGGTCAGTTTAGAAGCCTGAAAGAAATTAGTTCTAACTTATTTCCTTGTGGCTGAAATTGCAAATGTCAGATTCCATTACAAGAGGCTGATATGGGAAGAGCTCATTCCTTCCTTCGGTTAACATAGGATATCCCAGAAGTCTTTGTACAGTGTCAAGCTTTAAATGCTTTAAGTAGCCTAAAACCATACTAAGACTTTGGGACTGTCTTACCTTTATTTGGCACCTACAACACAGAAAATTCTATGTCTTACCTTTATTGGGCACCTTCACTGTCTTACCTTTATTGGGCACCTACAACATAGCAAATCCTATGTTAGCTATTGGAGATACAGTAGTGAGGAAGACAGGCATGGTCCCTGCTGTCACAGAGCTTCCCATCTCACAGATGTCAGATCAACATGTCAGCGTTTGGGAGTTGTGAATAACTACTATGGAGGTGCTCCCATTACTGTTGCTGCATGACAAACTACCTCAAAAAGTTAGTATTTAAAACAACAACTGTTAGATTATGCTTCATGAACCCAGTAGATCAGGAATTCAGTCAAACTGTGGCAGTTGAATGGCCTGGTCTAAAGGATCCAAACAGTTTCACTCCCATGTTTGATGGTAGCAGTGGCTAAAAGGCTAAGCTCAGATGAGACTGTCAACTGGAGCAGCTACACAAGTTGTTTTCAGCCTGGTGGTCTCAGGGTTGTTGGATTTCTTATATGGGTGCCAGGTTCCCCCAGACCAAGCATTCCAAGGAAATTAGGTGGAAGCTTCATGATGCTTTGGACCTTGCCTGGAAAGTCACACAACAAAACTTCTAGCAATTTCTGTTGGCTGCAAGTGAGCTATGAGGCCAGCCAGCTTATATTCAAGGGGAAGGGAATTGGACTCCATTACTTGGTGTGAGAATGGAAAATTTACATTGTAGACCACTTCTGGGAAGGAAGAGACTATTCTGGTGGAGGGACAGCCTTTCTAGACTTAAAGGTAAGAAGGAGCTGGTAGTTAGAAAAGTAGTAAGTAGGAGGAAGGCAATAGAGAATTCCTCAGGCAGAATACTTCTTGCAAAGGTCTGAGATGGAAAGGATTTTGCCAAATTTGAGGAAGTAATTTAACAATGGTACAAAAAGTTTTGAAAATCAGGCAGAGCCGGGCGCGGTGGCTCACACCTGTAATCCCAGCACTTTGGGAGGCCGAGGCGGGCGGATCACGAGGTCAGTATCTCCTCTGCTATATTCTATTAATTGAGATAGTCACAAAGACCTTCCTAGATTGAAAGAGAGAGGACGTAGATTCTAGTCTTGATGAGGGAAGTAGAACATTTCTGGAAGTTTGTGTGGGACCAGAGATATTCTTATAGCCAGTTTTAGAAAATATCGTCTGTTTCATGGGCTTTCTAGAGGAATGGCTTTTGCACACTTCTTCATGGGTGGGGGTCACCATGAATTTCCTCAAGGTGCCTCAAGCCTTTGTTCCACGGATGCCTCTGATATAGAGGCCATAACAGAGTCTGCAGTTTTTATGTGAAGAGAGATATTAATACTTCTTATTTTCCCCACAGTCTTGCGATCAACCCAGAACTGAAGGGAAGGGGAATAAACTGGACAAGCCTGATAGTGACATTCACAAACAGTGGAGGAAGTCAAGTACCAAGGTAGATTGCATATCCCTCGCCACTGGGGATCCTGTGAAAAAGAAAACGCCATCAGAATACATAGACCTCTTAATCTTTAGATTGAGAAAGTATGGATTCTACATTTCTATCCATCTACATCACGGGGGAGCCGTGTTCAACTACTAACAACAGAGGCTCATTTGCAGTGGCTGAAACTCGTGAAGGATTATTGTGTAAAAGACACCTGAAGATCAGCAGTTCAAGGCTGTTCCACAGAGTCTTCACGGACTGAGAGAATTTCTATCTTTCCACTTTATTTTCTTGATCTATTTTTCTCCTTTCATTCAAAAGGTGACTTCACAGTTCCAAATGGCTGCTGAAGTTCCAGGTAGGAAGGAAGGAGAATGGCTTTGCCCACTGTCTTTTTTTTTTTTTTCTTTTTTCTTTTTTCTTTTTTTAGAAAGAGGGTCTTGCTCTGTCACCCAGGCTGCAATCATGGCTCACTACAGCCTTGAACTCCTGGGCCCAAGTGATCCTCCTCAGCCTCCCAAGTAGCTAGGAGGCTTATGCCACCAGGTCCAGCTAATTTTTATATTTCTTTTTCTTTTTCGTAGAGAGGAGGTATCCTTCTGCTGCCCAGGCTGGTCTCAAACTCCTGGCCTCAAGCGATCCTCTCACCTCAGCCTCCCAAAATGTTGGAATTACAGGTGTGAGCCACTATGCCAGCCCCCATTGTCTTTCAGGTAGGCTTCAAAATTATACTTCCATCTGTATTACTTTGGATAGAACTCAGTTACATGGGCTCACCAAGTTAAAAAAAAAAAAGGAGGGGGGGCAGGAAATGTAGTTTCTTGGCAGGAGATATTGCCCAAGATTTTGCTATTGGAAGGCAAAGAGTAAAAATTAATATTTAGAAGCAAGAAGCCCTCTCTGTCAAATGTACTACTTAAGAGATTTAAAAAAAAAATATTTACCCACCAAGTTACATGGATCATAAAGACCTTTCTAGTGATATATAATTGCAACAGTTCTCCTTTTTAATTGCCTACAAGAAATGTGAAATTTACTTCAATATTTTGAAATCAGAGGTGGGAAGCAGATTTTGTAGAACCCATTTCCTCACCCTAAACAGTTGACAGCATACAAACCATGTTTTCAACCTCCCTTAATTTCAAAGCACAATTCACTCTCTTGACATAATCACTAAAGTTACAGCTAATGTAAGAGGTAAGAGGATGATTAGAAACTTCAAGGAGTTCTGAAACATTCTAGAACAAACGAGATGTTCCATGTAACTTGTGTTTCTGATGCTAAGTGACAAAGTCAGCAATTTAGGCCATTGTCAATATTAAAATATTTGCTCAGTGTCATATATGTAGTAATGTGCATGACAAAAAAATGTTTTGAAATATTTCAGTTTTCTTCATCTGCAAACATCTTACACTCAAAAGACTCAACAGAGTTCCATTTCTTTCCTGAGGCTTTTCCCAGCGCCAGTGTTCTACCATCTCTCATTTCTTTGTACTCGGGGACTGATTCCACTGTTTGCATTTCACCAGTAGTATCAACATTTCAGAAACATTAAGCAAACATTTAACATTACTCCCAAACACTTCAGTACTTCATTGTGGCCTGCTAGTGTGTAGAGTTACTATCTTTCCAAGTTCAGTGTGAGCTCTTTTCAGTGGACTCTTCCAGAGTCCTTGCTTCATATTTTTTTATATCATTCCATTTTAGGCATTAAATATTTCCAGGCGGATAGAGTCCTACAGGTTGCCCTGGCAGCAGGCAGCAGAACAAGGGGGCGCATATATCAACCAGCTCATTGGATGTTTCCACTAAGGAAAAAAAGTACTCAGTTATTTGAATCTCAAAAGCAAACTATATCATATCTTTCGGAATGGCTAAAATGAGGAAGACAATTGTTGATGGAAGAGCAAATTTTTACAACCACTGTGTAAAACTATTTGTGTTTATCTATAAAAGCTGAACTTACAGCTGGGCGTGGTGGCTCACACCTGTAATCCTAGCACTTTGGGAGGCCGAGACAGGTGGATCATTTGTGGTCAGGAGTTTGAGACCAGTCTGGCCAACATAGTGAAACCCTGACTCTACTAAAAATACAAAAATTAGCTGGGCATGGTGGTGGTTGCCTGTAATCTCAGCTACTGGGGAGGCTGAGGCAGGAGAATCGCCGGAACCCAGGAGGCAGAGGTTGCAGTGAGATCACGTTATTGCTCTCCAGCTGGGTCACAAGAGCAAAATTCCGCCAAAAAAAAAAAAAAGAGAGAGAGAGAGAAAGAAAAAAAGCTGAACATAGGTATATTTTATGTCTCAGAAACTACTTTAAGTTTAAATACTCATCAGGAATGCACAGGCACATGCAAAAACAACAAAAACAAGCACTAGAATGTTCTGAGCAGTATTCATAATAGCCCAAAAACTGGAAATTACTGGTAGGTCCACCAACAATATAATGGATAAACATTAAATGTAGATTGTTCATACAGTAGAGTGTAAGACAACAACAAAAAATGAACAGACTCTTTCTACACACAAACAGCCTGGATGAATCTCACAAGCATAACGTTGAGTGAAAGAAGCCAAAACTGACCTTACTGTATGGTTTCATTTATGTATATTTCAAAAACCAGTGAAACTAATCTATCTTATTAGAAATCAGGGTAGTGGTTACCCTTGCTGGGGAGGAAAAGGAGCAGTGTTCAATGAGGGCTTCTGGGCCGACGGGAGTGTGGAGTTCTTAATCTGGGTTCTGGTTGCAGGGATATGATGTGTTTGCTCTGTGGAAAAGACGCTAATCTGTATATTTATGATTTGTGCATTTTTTCTGAGTATGTTATACTTAATAAAAAGTTCACTAGAAAACAAACACCAAAAATGGCAAGCTGTGGGATGCAGTAGGCAACCCCCATCCTCAGGTCTCCACACGCTACGGCACGCTATAAAATACCCAGACATGCTTTCACTCTAATATGATTCTAAGCGTCTATTAAAATCCCACTGAAAAAAGACTAGAAAAAAAATTATTTCATTTTAGGCCACCGTAGGAAATTCCAGTCACCAAGGAGGGGGCTTTGGGGCAAACCGCTCCGCTGGACTGGAGCTGACCATCCCCGATGTGTGTGGCAGAGCAGAGCATCCTTTACAGAAGAATGAGAGACTGGAAGGCTGCTGCTACAACCACATTTTCTAGATTTCTTCCTCATCTTCTCTTCCATGACCCCCCTTTTCTCTCTTTCTTTCCTTGTCAGAGGCCTTCTGGGCTGGCACCATTTGCTTTCAGGATGGACAGCTGGCTGAGAAAAGTGCCTGTATTTCTCTTCTCTCATTGGCATCTGTCTTAACCCTCCTTATGGCAGCTGCTGTGAGCTCACGTATCCTCTGTGTGCTGTGTTTTCCAGCCGCAAATTGCCGAACCTGCCCTGTTTGCTGTTTCTGGTGGTGCAGAGCATTTCAAAATTAAAAATTTAAGACATTCTCCCTCTCTGCCTGCTTTCTTGATGGCATACTTGTCAATCTCGAAGTGCTACACTACACAGCTCAGAAAAAACATAATCAAGGAGAGAAAATAAAAAAGAGGTGATACGGATGCGCAGACTGATGGAAGGTGAAAATGGACATGTGGCCAGCTGCTCCCATCCCATCAGCTCATTACGGGGCACGCTCTGCTCATGCAGGAGTACAGGCAACAAGAAGCACAAAGGACATCAGGCAGGCTGTCCACAGCTCCCCACCTATAGGGGTTCCAAGATGAGGACAAATGCATATGTAATCAACAATGAGAAGCCTCAAATTAATAATAACACAGTGATGAAATGGAAATGACGCAAGGGACACTGAAGGGCCATGGGGCCCTCTGGGGCAGTGTCAATTTCATAAACAAAGCCTCATGGAATGCAGACAGGTTAAAATTGGAAACACTTTCCTCGAAGCCCAAGTCTGAGGCTGGTTTGAGAGATTAATGGAGCATGCAGCAGATTGGCTCAATAATCATGAAATATAGAGAGCACAAAAGTTAGCTCTGTGCACTTTATTTAGGGGCTTTTACTGCGGAAGATTATTTCTGAAGAAAGGGGACTAACTGAAGGTAATTGAATAAAGCTAAGAAAATTTTCGCCCAGAGAAGTAAAATCTAGTCCGTAGTGGAAGACTTGTTAAGACACAAATTGTGAAAGTTCTGTCACTCATTACACTTGAGGAACGTAGCCTTCCTCCCTCCCTTCACCCTAAAGCACAGTTTAGGCTTAAGATCTGCCTGCTTTGAGTCCGATGTGTTTGCTGGGACATCAGAAGTGGGAAATTGAGAAAAGGGAAGAACATCAGTTTGTTCCTTCAACCCTCCATTCCCACCCCAGATATAAAATACCAAAGAGTCATCAAACCACCTAATCCAGCTATGAAAAGATAAGCCCAATGTGATGGCACCCATCTCATCCATTTCTGATTCCTATGATTTCCTGGTCCACAGACCAAATGCAGTACGTTAGAGAAAAACGGCCAAAGTTCTATTGAAACTGCAGGAAGTAAAATACCCATGATGCTCATGAATGTGTCCCACTGCCTAGCTTAAGAATCATTATAACACCACCAAAAGATAAAAATGAATACAATGCTTAACAGTAAAAATCATTGGAACAAACACTGTTATGGTGTTGACCGTGTGCCAGTGGATGTGCTAAGCATTTTACAGGTACTTACAGCTACAACCCTGTGATGGAGATATTACAATGAGGCCTGTTTCTGAAAATAAAGAAACTGTGAAAAGGAAGATCATCCATTTGTTCACTCAACACATACCACTGAACTGCCACTGCATGTCTGGACGTAGAAAGTCTGCTCAATTCCAGATGAGCGCTGAACAGCACATGGTCCAAAGCTGATCTAGTAGCTCACCGGGGCTGCCTTAACAAAATACCACAGACTGGGTGGCTCAAGAAACAAAAATTTATTTTCTCACAACTTTGGAAACTGGATAGACAGGATCCAGCTGTCGGCAGGTTTGGTTTCTTCTGAAGCCTCCTCCTGGGCTTGCAGACAGCTGCCATCTCATTGCGTCCTCATGGGGCCTTTCCTCCATGTGCACTCCTGGTCTTTCCAGGAGTGTCTTAATCTCCTGTTCTTATATGGACAGCAGCCTGGTTGCATCAGGGCCCACGCTGATGGCCTCGTTTTAACATAATTACATCTTTAAAGGCCCCATCTCCAAACACAGTCACATTCTGAAGCACTGGGGGTTAGGGCTTCCACATATGGGTTTGAAAGGGATACAATTTAGTCCATAACAGCTGGGAGGACAATTTGATTCATCCACCAGTATAATGGACTTGAACTTCATCCCTCTAAGTCGGAGCTGGAAGGCTTTTTTCCCCAAGCAATGTTCACAGAAAGGGGAAGCTCTCAAGGCCTAAACCCTGACTACCATTGCGTGCAGGGGAGGAACTCCACTGAAGCAATCTGCTCCTGTTGTTTGTCATCCAACAACCCACCACCTATAATACAATGATGGCTTTTATGGACCAACGGAAGCAACTATGTCCAGTCACCCAGAGTGCATGTTAAAAAAAACTAAAAAGGAAATATCCCTTATACTCTGTTTTTCTTCCTTTTTTACCCCTCTTAATGGCCTTCTGAATCAAAAGTAAATAAACTGGATTTTGGCAACCCTACCGCACAAAGTCAAATTCATGCCTCCAGTGAGCCCTTCTGTGCTTATCATGTTCATCCTTGCTCTGAGGCACTTCAAACACTGTTGATTTATTCTTCCATGAATTTGAATGAGGACCACATTGCAGAACCCTATTGTTCCTACTCTTCCAATGGGATTTCACAGTCTATCTGCCCACTTATTAAGAGCACCTACTCCTTCCAGTTTTCAGAATTTATTCTGATTATATTTTCTCTTAGTCTTCTTAATCTTGAAATAAGGTACTTTAGGACCCAGAAGTGTATTATAGCCACCAAAACATTCATTTAGTTCAATCCCTCAAGACTGTTTGGAAGAATCATTTTTAAAAGTTTCAAAAGGAATATTTGTGAGCAATCACAATGCATTGCCTATACCGTGCTTTGAAAATATGTTCCCAACTTAAAATTTCTGGATCCGTTTGGAAGACAGAAAAATAAACAGTTCAGATGCAGCCAGTCATAAGATAAAGATTATTGTATGTTTATATATAACCATGTTTTTCTCTTTTTCTGAAACTTTGTAAATATTCAAGATTTGGAAATGCAGGTTCTATATTGCATCATAGCTTCTTGTCTTGAAAGCCTGCAGATAACTGGGTGCAGAGTCTGACTTCCTCCTGCTTTAAATTAAGGAGGCTGACTCTGATGGAGAATCAAAAGCAGTAGTCTGCTTACTTGTGAGAAACCCCTCTTTGCACAGAAGAGGAAGATTCCCAGCTTTCTGCATTCTCTCCCGAGTTCAGTGTGGGCTCCCTCTGTGACTCCAGAGATCGTTTCACATCCCATTGCCTCGTGTTCCTTCTCATTAAGACAGCAGTAACTTCACCAGTTTCCTGCATCACAGAAGCATTATGTGGAATAATTAAGGGTTAATTAATTAATTGGAGAAAAACCACATTAGAGAGATAATAGAGGTTTCTACTGAATTTTCTTGGCTTTGGGCAAGGCCACCTCTAAGTCGGTTTTAATCAGAAACATAGGGCCTCAATTTTTCATTACCAGTCACACTTTGAGGTTTAAAATGAACATGAATCTCTAATATAATTTTTTCTAAATCAGATTTTTTCCCCTGCAAGACTGATTTCTAGTATCACATCACTGAGTTAATCAATATAATATCTTGTACTAAATTGAGTAGTTCTATTGTGAATTCATGAAAATGACAAGGACTTTTTTCTCTGCTTTTAATATGCTTTATCATTGTTGTTATTGTTGCTTATTTATGGTAAATGGAAGAAATTCCATAGTCCTACATGGATTTGCTTCTTTTCATCTTTTTTCTTCAGAGACAATCTCAGCCAAAACCCAGGACCGTAAAATGACAGCCCCTCAGTGGAAAGTGAAAGATTAAAAACAGTCTGCGATCAGCTGCTGATCTGATTATCCAAGAGGTGATTTTCTGGGGTGCTCATGATAGAGCTGGTTTCCTCCCTGTTTCCCTCCTGGAGCTCATCCTGTTCATGAGAGATGGGCTAGAGCAGGATATGGAGCCCAATAGGACTGCATTAATGGTCTGGCCTCCCCGTTTCCGGGAAAGGGGGCGCCAGGTCTAAGTTTGACCTTAGAGTGCCCCCCATTCAAGTGCCTTGAGCTCTCTAGATAACTGTTGCCCTGGGGGTGGCTGAACTTGCACTTCGTGGCGGCCTTCCTTTATTGCAAGCAGCACAGGATCTCGGATTTGCCTTCCAGAGGAGGTGAGGCATCCACCACCTCACAGAGCCCCTGAATCCCCTCCTCACAGTCAAAGCAAATCAAATCACTTTGCTTAAGGCAGAAAACCATAACTCTAAGTACAGCCTCCACTGTTTTCCAGTGTCCTGAAAATATACTGTTACAGTCCTCAAAAAAAAAAACATAGTCCTCTGCTATTCATGAAAAATAGGCTCAATTGTATCCCATTCATTCAACTAATGTTTATTGATTACTGATATGTGACACTTTGCTAACTACTAGGAAGAAGAAGATGCAGTCTGCCTCAGTGAGGTCAAACTTTTAATGGGGGTAGTCAGGAGAACAATATGGCAAGGCAAGGACGTGAAGCCCCAATCCACTGGTGTCAGCGCTTCATAGTAAACCTGAACATCTGGTCAAAGACCGAGTGGACAGGTAGGAGAAATTTTGGGAGAAGACAAAATTCTCTAGAGATTAAATACTCAAAGTCCAAATCTGGGAATACTTAGAGCTCATATTCTTGGGCTAGAAATTCCTGCATTTTTGTTGGATTTAAACAAATTTTGTTGGTAAATTCTTCAGGATAAAGCTGCTTGCTTTTATCCATCTCATGTCAAATTTCTTTCCACTAATAATGGAGTGATAAAAGGAGGCTCAGAGATAATCCAACATCTTGGTAATCCAAGAGAAACCTCAGAGATAAACCAACTTCCTCACTCTAAAGGTAAAAAAACACTAACTCCTAAGCTAAATTATTTGCTC